GCAAAATGTTATGATAATTCACAGAGAAAAAAATGTGACAATGAGTGTGTATATGTCCATGAATGACTGAAAAATTGTGCTGAACACTGGAATTTGACACAACATTGTAAAATGATTATAAATCAATAAAAATGTTAAAAAATGCTGCCCTCATATAATTCATTCTATTATATTGGTAATTATATATTTTGAAATAATCTGTGAACCCACCTAAATGTCCATGTCTTTTATAATACACATATGTGTGGAAATTTATACATATTTAAATTTAACAGCATAGGCTAAATAAAATAATCTGGATAAATGTCAACTTTGCTATGGTTTTAGCTGATCAACAGCTGGAACTGTTGGGGGAGAAGATAGCTCAGTGGCAGAGTGCCTGCCTAGCATGTACAAAGTCCTGGGTTCGATCCCCAGTAACTCCACTTAAAAAACAAGTAAATAAATAAACCTAGTTACCACTTCCCCTTTAAAAAAAAACAAACAGGGACTCTCTTATCTATCTTTATATTGATTCTCCAGTGTTCACAAGATCTCTGCCCATATTAGCTGAATAATAAATTTTATGAATGAATACATGATTTATATGCTCAATATATTTAAATTTTTTAAATATTATTATACATTTATTGATCATTTACTAGCTGTCAGACACTATGTTGAATGTTTATCACATTAAGAAAAAAAAGGAAAAAGAAGGAAATGTCAAAGCTGATTTGTTCAAGAAGCTTACAATCTGTCAACAGAGAAGATAAAAGAGCAAACCCAGATAATTTCCATGGTGAGTGGATAACCCACTTGTGCTCTAACCATGCAATGGAATACCGCTCCTCAAAAAAGAGACATGTTTTGATGAATCTCAAATGCACTGTGTTAAATAAAAGAAATCTGGCTCAGAAGGCTACATGTTATGTAATTACATTCATCTGAATTCTGGAAAAGGCAAGATTATGGAACAGAAAATTGTCCAGTGAGCTTACCATGAATGATTGGAGAGGCTGGGCATGGGGACCATTCGAGGTAAATGAGAAGTAAACCTTTCTGTCTTAGAAGGTGGGGGAAGGATGACTTTGAAAAAAGAGGGGAGAACTCTGTGCTAACAGGTGCATTGCCAAGCTGACCACTTTTCAGAGAGGGGACCTAGGGACGTAGAGGATCTGGATATCGATCACTGTAGGATTATTTGATCCCACATATCCCTCGGAAAATGTTTACGTGCCCTCAAGGACACGTGCCAACTAATATGATTACCACCACCGCAGTGTTAGGCTGGCACCTTGAGTAGGCAGAAAATAAATGCCTGTTAGATGATTAAATGCTCCTATCCAAAGGCAAGCATAGTCCTAGGCGAGTGGTTATAGTTTGATCTTTCTCAGGAGACCCTGAGTTCTTTACCAAAAGAAATGCTACCTTATTTATCTTCTGCCTTTTAAGTCTTGTGTAAAGCTATAGTGAGCCTCACAAATGCATATATAGAATGAGTGAATCTGTAATTCTAATGAATTATCGTTGAGTGAAGCTTGAAATCTCCAGCTCACATAAACTTAAATTACATGAAGAATTAATCAAATCACCCAAAAAAAAGGAGTTTATCAAATTACATAAAAGTGGTTAATTTTGAAATAATATTTTTCTTTTTCATGACTGTAAATATTCCATCTAACAATGTAGTACCTGATTCATTGATGCGGTTCTTCCCAAGCAGTTTGTTGACAGTACAATAGAGGTCATCAGAACAGAGACAATCGTTAAATTGGAAGTCGCTTTCCACTAAGGACTGGATGCTCAGGTTACAGCTGAATGGCTCCTTCATCCGGCGGGGGTCTCCTGGATTTCACAAACAGGTAACACCCTAGACATTACTCTGAATGTAATTTTTGAGTTCCCTTACCCAAGCTTTGTTAAAGCTTTGGGTAGTCCCCCCCCGCCCCCCGCCACCGCCAAAGCTTTTAACATATTCATTTTAGTAATTCATTATTATAATGAAATTATCTGGCTTTGTTACAGGATGTCCATATAATGGCCTTTTCAAGTGAAAAATCTATTTCTACTGTCATTCCCCCAATATTTACTTTCTAAAATAGATTAAGGCTTTCTGTATTTTAAAATTGCATTGCCTCCACTTAGAATGCCAATTTTTGTTCTTTAATAATAATCAAGACTGCCCTTATAGGAGGCGACCAGAATGCTCTATAATTGTAGCATTTTGTCAGTTTAGCTATTTTATTAGCTATTTGGTCTGAATCTGCTATGTTATTTTTCATGTCATTCTAACATTACAATACAAGACATCAAGTGGCTCTAAATTTATCATGGAAAATGAAATCGTCCTGATGCTCAGCAAGCACTCAATAAATATCATTGAATAGCAAGCCTTTCATAATTACCAATATTTCATTTTCTGCTTTAAAAAGCCATATTCATCCACCCAGCAATTTTCTATTATTCATTTCTCTGAATAAAACCACTTGAGTACATTTCATTTGTGTATTTAAGAATATTTCTATTTCAGCGCCATGCATGGGAAAATGGTGCAAATATTATAATTCACTGCAAGTGACTAGCTATTGGTATATGGAAATAAATAAATATGGAGGAATTCAGGATACACTGAATGTGATATTTTATATTGCCTCATAAAATGTAACAAGAAGCTTCACCATCAAAACAAATAACAGATTTTTTTGTTCCTGTCCTTTATTCTCATCCTAAAATTGTGTTATTTGAGCAAATTTGCCTTTGAAATTCTTCCCCTGATCTGTAATGAGAATGCTGGATGAGAATGTAATGAGAATGAATATTGGATAATTTGGGGGGAGTATGAACATTCTGTGTACCCCTTCAAGGCAGGGGTGAGAAGGAAGTCTCCCTCCTGTCCCCTACGTCCTATGTAAGTTCCTTGAGATCTTGTGGCTGGGCAGGGGCTGATGGTGGAGACGGTGAATGTCGGCATCATCCGAACTATGGGTTGTTGCCTCTTAACCCAACACACTTGTCCTTACAGCTTTGGGAGGAAGAGATCACACAAGCAGACAGGCAAGGGGCTTGAGCATCACAGAATTTACTCTTTGTGAAATGGCTGAAGAAACAAAATGAGTCATGGAAGAATGTATTTTTATTTTCCCCTTTGGTTTTCTCTTACTGAATATGCCAGAAGGTATATCAGATTTTATGGTATTCTAATATTCATTATATGAGTTGATAAAACTTACTTTATGTTAGAATAAGATATTTTGAAAAGTTTTGCCATAATAGTATCAAGGTAAGGTCCCACTACGTAATCGGTGTATCCACTTTTAGTGAATGGGTCTTAGCTCTGATGTTCTCATTCAATATATATGCAGCTACTTGGTATATTTAGGACATTTTTTTCCTTTTAAACAAATGACAGTGACTCTTCTGTCTTCACATTCTCTACCCATTGGACCTGCCCTCAAATGTTTGGACATTTGATGTAGGAGGTAGAACAAATTAAAAATAAAAATATTTTAATACTATAAATTTTATTATACTTTATTTATAAATTTTATATTTAATGATATAAATATTATTTTAACTTGTTCTGGACAGAGTTGGAATGGAAAATAGTGACTATGTTGCAGGAATATAAAATTCGTGTTACGTACATGCAAATAAATCACGTCTGAGCATCACAAATGTCATCTTCCTATGTTATCACTGACATATTAACATAGAAGCAAAAGAACATTTTATCTGAAAAATTATCACCATGCTTCTGAGAGGCATGTATGTAATTTTAACATTATACATGGTGAGATCAGTATGATAATAATAATTTCAGACAAGAATAATCTGAAATATTGCATAGAGCTAATTTATGCTTTAAATAAATTCAATGCATCAGAGCCCTTGAGTAATTTAAGAATACTCTTTTGTAACTAAATTCACTAATAAGTAATTGAAGGTGAATCACTTGAATACCAAGATTGCATATAAGGTATTTAGAGAAAAACTGACTTCCTACGATAGTCAATCCTATGTTTATCTCAGTAAAAGGACATTATTTGAGTGTATTTTAAACAACTTGCTCTACCTGGCACATGGCAGGCATCCTCCATTTTCCTCCAGGCGCCTTCGCATCCGTTAGCATCACTTAGGCAGCGCTCTCTTAAATACGTGCAGTCGGTGGTTTGGGAAGGGGACTCATTGCCCAAGCACAGCCCCACAGCTTGAGTAACGACAACCACAAAACAACAAAAACAGCAGCGATGTGACAAGATGGCAGTTACGTACTTCGGAATCTGAGTTATTAACGATACGGAGCAGAATAATGAAAAAATCAAATGGGATAAAATCATTACCAGGCTGGACGTGGACTGTAACCTCTCCCCTCACTATGGAGCTCTGTGTCTCTTATGTAAGATTCTGAAATAAAGAGTCTACATTTGCTCCCTCTTTTTTACTATTCATTTTTCAGCGTGTGCTTTATTTTTATTACTATTGCACCATTGAAACTGCTGTTTGAAATTTCCTACTCGCCTTCACAACGTCAAGTTTGACAGGTTGAAGACTTCCTCCTGCCTCCTTCTATCGCTGGGCATTCTGTTGTCATTTTGTTCTTGAAATCTTTCCCCTTTGGCCACCCCCTCTTCTTATGCTCTTGATACTTGTTCATTTGTTATTTTCCGCCCATGGTTAGACTCCATCCCAGGATCCTCTGATGATTCTGTGAAAGTATATTTGTAGCTTGTGTTCTGCCCTCAGACTTCTCTCATGCTCATTTCACACGTTCTCTGTGGACAATTCCACATCTTCGTGGTTTTAACTAAAATCTCTAGACTGATGATTCTCATATGTCTCATTCAATCCCCTTATTTTCCAATTAGAGGTGCTGTTACCCTCACCTGGATGTTCCAGACACACTTTCAGACAATCCTATCATTAGCATTGTCTTCCTCATCACCGCCCCCTGCTGGACCATCTGCTTCATCAGTAATTCCACCATTCACAGTGGCACCCAAATTAGGAACCTTGGATTCATGGTGGGCTCCTAGTCTAGCCTCAGCTTCCCTCCCCCATCTACACTCTGGCATAGCTCATTGACTCCTATTTTGACTATCTGATCAACCCATCAGTTAGTCAGTCTGCCTCCAATTCCATCTTATTCAGATAAATTCTTTATACCTGCTAATCTACCATTCTAGTCCTGCCATGTCTCTGCCCCATCCTTTGGAGGGTTCCTCATATCATGACTCTCACATTCTCCACCATGTGCAATCTGGAGGTCCTTAAGCATTTACAGTTTCTCAAATGCTCCATGCTCGTATCTCTGAACCTTTACAGTATGGACACCCAGCAGGGGTTCCTTTTTTTTTTTCCTCTGGAATAACTCTCTTATTTTGTCCTTTAAGATTCAACACAATAACTACCTATTTGATGGAAACTTGTCCTAATTCAATACCCCTTTTCCTACACCTAAAGGGAATTTAATACCTCTTACCTGTTTCACTACAATCTTGGGTACTTCCAACCCAAGCATTTATTGCTCTGTAACAAAAGTGTGTATTTCTGTGTTTGTCTTTACACTGGGTTCTAGGGTTTTACTCAGCAGGCATTAGGGGTAATTCAGAATTGTATCCCCATCATCAATACAGTGATGCATCATAGATATCCAATAAATGCATGTTGACTTACACCACCTTGAATAGTTGTTTATGAATGAGTTATACATAAATAACTAGGAATGCCCAATAAAAATAACACCTTCCAGATATTTACAAGTTATTTTGGGTGGAAAAGTCTCCAGCAAGTTTTCTAAACGTATCAAGAAAGTAGCAATGTGAAGCCAGTACAGTGTACTAAGGACTCAAACATGCTGCAGGCATACAAACTGACTCTTGCTTAAGCAATCCATAGAAAAATATGGAAATTACAATCGAGTTATAGGGACAGCATGCTAACTAAAATCAGGAGACCTCCAGCTATGTTGTAATCAGCCAAATTATTTGATTTTTTTTAAACGAGGTTAATTATGAATCCCCTGTCACAACACAGAGTTATAGG